ATGGTTAGAGGGTAGAAAGGGTGACAATGGTGATAACCATACCATGCTTGGATCAAGGTCAGTTTTCTAGGCTGTCCTGGACCAACCCTTTCCTGAATTTATAGCAGGCTAGAAGGATGAAAGAGGAAAGCCCAGTTAAAATGCAGCCATTGCTATGAGGAACCTCTTTATTGAACTCTGCATCTGTTTAAAGCTGTCCTGCCAAGGGAGACCAAGGAAGCAGATAAAGCAGGCCGGGCGGGTGGGGGAAGGGCTCTGGAAACCACCTTCTTCTTGCCTTTCTGCTCCAGAACATGCCCTTGAACATGTGAGGAGTTCAAGGTGCCCACAAACCGCACTGTGGATCACCGTATCTTGAGGATCACAATCCCCAGGGACACCAGCAAGAGGTAAAATGGAAGGCTGGGCGCTGAGGGACCCAGGTTTGCCGCCCATGGATTTAGCATGTTATTCGTGCTGACTGGCAATTGGATATCATAATCCCCCCCTTTCTTTTCTTTTTGGTTCACAGCTTGGTTCCTGGTGTTTTCTTCTTCTTTTCTTCTCATTTTTCTTGGGCTTCCTTTTTTTTTTTTTTGAAATGACTGAAACATATTTCATTACAACCTCCTTTGGAATATACTACCTTTCTACTCTTGGGAATAATTTTCCTTTTGAGGGGGGTTGGATCCTTTTGTTTCCATGCTATTTGGGCTTCTATATATAATACATCTACTGCAAATTGGGTAACTTTTTTGGCCTGAAGGAATATAAACTGACAGTGACTTTGTCTGGGCTGGCTTCCTCCTCAAAGACAGAAGATAGAAGTTTCATTTTTCCTCCCTTCCCCTCTTTTTTTTTCTTCCTTTCAACCCCATCGGGTAAAATATAGTTTATGAATTCTGTAGCTTTATTTTGAGTTCTTGATATCTTATTGTGTTACATATTGTGTCTCTTGCTCTGCCAGTGCATTAAGGTTCTAACTGGATATTTTGGGAATGGTTTTGTTTAGCAACTGTTAAAGCTTTCACTTCAGAAGTACTGGCTGCTCTAAAATTTTTGTAAACATTGATAACTTTCTTTGGTCTTCAAGGTTATAAGAGTCCTTGCGCCCTCTGCTGGACCAGATGACTAACATCGAACAACAACTGACGAATCCAAATCAGAATCTTGCAACTCAGCAGCTCCAATTGACTGAGACTTTAAAAATAACGGAGCAAACGGCTGAGAAGGTGAAGGAAATGGACGCCAATGCCAAAAAAGTTAAGAAAAAGTTTCAAAAGCTGGAAAAGAAACAAGTCTCTGAAGAATCACAGCTTTTACTGGTGCTAATGGAGAAAGCAAATATGGTCCTATGGTTTCATGGGGTCCCAGAATTAAAAGGTGAGAAGCTAAAGCAACTCCTGAGTGAAGCATTAGCCCCAGTTACAGATTTGAAAGTGGAGTATCTTGTAAGCAAAATGGATGTGGTCTATAGATCCTCAAAAAGAATAATCTGCCTGGGGAAATAGTGGCTAGATTCTCAAAGTGACACGTGAGGGACTCTATCCTGAAAGCAACTACAGGAACACCCTTGAAAATCGGGGACAACACTATCAGGATTCTAAAAGACATTCCATTCGAAATAAGGCAAAAGAGAAAGAAATATAAAGATTTAATCCTTTTTCTTCAAACAAACAGCGTCGTCTACAGATGGTTAATTCCAGAAGAGGTCATATTCAAACTACAAGATAAAAAAGAAAAGATTGACTCTGTTTTCAAAGCATGTGAGTTCCTGAAAGTGCAGCTGGGAGAGCCAGCCGAGGTCGAGAAGGAAGAAGATGACAGCAAATCCAATGGTGAATTGAACTCAGGGTCTTCCGACAAGGACTCTCTTTCTGATAAGGGGGCAGCTGCCCCCAAGCGTACATACAAACTGAGGATCAGAAAAGATAAGACAAAATGAAGGCTGAAGGACTCTGAAGTGTGCCTTTAAACTTTAGTTTTCTTGTGGGGTGCTCTGGGGGTTCTCTTGAATGGTTAAAACATTGGATAAAAAGACAAAAAAAAATAGCATAGCTGACTATGTTCAAAGTGATATTAGCAATTTAAGATTAACATTTATACAAGCTGTTGTGATGATCTCCTATTCTGGGGTTTTTAGTTAGTTGTGGTTTTCTTTTCTTTATCCCTAGATGTAGTTACCCCTTCACAATTTTTCATAATAATCTTCCTAGAGAGATTCACGTGAGATTTCATAAAAGGACTTTTAGAGATGAAATTCTTAAAACTGCAAATACTACACCTCCACAGATTGAGAATAAAAAAATCAAAATCCTCAAGGAAGTTAGCGAGAAAAAAACGTATACATGGACAGATATTTTGGGAAAAAATGGAATTACATTCAGATGGTTGCTCCCAGAAGGCATTTTCTTCACTTTTAAAGGGAAAAGGTTCAAAATTAATTTGGTATTTAAAGTAGAAGACTTCTTAAAAGTACACAGAATGGCTCTAGATCCTGAGGAAGGGAAAAGTGAGAGTGAAGAAGATGAGGACCAAGATAAATATCAGGATGTATTAGGAACCCAAAGACAAAGAGAATTAAAGAAAAGATCCCTGCGTCTCAAATAGTTACAAGATTTAAACAAAAGAGTAAAGATGATGCAACCACACAACCACAATCACAAAATGGACTGGAAGAAACTTAAAATTATCTCTATCAATGTCAATGGATTAAATGAACCACAAAAGAGAAGAAGGATATTTCAGCAACTGAAGAAGATGCAATTAGATGTGATTTGCTTGCGAGAAACTCATATAAGTCTGTTAGATCAAAAGTACCTGGAATTTTAAAAAGTAGGGAAAATCTTTATTTCTTCTGATAAAGAAAAGAAGAAAAGGGGGCTTGTCACATACATAAAGGAACAGCTATAACCTGAGATGCTTTATATTTCTGAATGGCAGAATTCTTTAACCCAGAATTCTATATGGCAGAATTCTTTAACCCAAATCCAAAAGACAGTGAAAGACAACCTTGATTGCCAACATATATGCACCAAACCAAAATCATGAAAATTTATATAGCCTTTTACATTCACAATCTAAGAAGGAAGCATTGGGGAAGTCGGCTCTTTGCGATGACACATAGCCAATGTGTCCGGCCCGTAGCTAACATGGGGCCCATGGGGCCCAGCCCCCTAGTGTTTCTTCTGGGCCCCCTCCCTCCTGGGCTGCCCCCAAACTTACCACCTGCACTGTACTTTCATTTAATTAGCTGGCAGGCCCCCCTGAGGCCCCCTCCCAAAGAATTCCCTAGCTACAGGGCTTGCAACAAAAACTCATATGGGAAAGCAGTTGTGTGGTTGGGAAATGCCGGAAGCATTAAGAATCGAGAGAGAGGGTGTCATATGCAAACTTACAAGACATGGGAGCATTTATCCATATATTCATTTATTGAAATTATCTCCACACCTTTTCACAGCCGTGAGGCTCCCAAGGTGGCATACAAGGAGAACACACACACAAAATCACGAAATGTAAATCTACCCCCCTCCCTCCATCAGTGAAAGCAGGGAGTAGCAGGAAGAACATTAAAGCAATAAAAGCACCAATAGTAAAACAACAACGACAACTAGTTAAAAAGGTAAAGGTTCCCTTGCTCGAAAGCCAGTTGAGTCTGACTCTAGGGTTGCGGTGCTCATCTCCGTTTCCAAGCCGAAGAGCCAGCGCTGTCCGAAGACGTTTCCGTGGTCATGTGGCCGGCATGACTAAACACCGAGGCGCACGGAACGCTGTTCCCTTCCCACCGAAGGGGTACCTGTTTATCTACTTGCAATTTCTTGCTTTCGAACTGCTAGGTTGGCAGGAGCTGGAACTAGAGACGGGAGCTCACTCCGTCATGCGGCACACTGGGGTCTCGAACTGCTGAACTACCGACCTTCCACAGCCTGCAGTTCAGCGTCTTCACCACTTGAGCCACCGCAGCTCCAACTATTTATGTAGCATCTAATAGGCACTTCAGTAGCCAATAAAAGCAATACTCAGCAAAACACTCATCCAGCCTGGTTAACACACCTGAAGCTGCCTTATACTGACTCAGACTCCCTCGTCCATCAAGGTCAGTCTCTTGCCTACTCTGACTGGTAGTGGCTCTCCAGGATCACAGGCTGAGGTCTTTCATGCCACTTCCTACCTGGTCCTCTTAAATGGAGATCCTGGGGACTGAACCTGAGACCTTCTGCATGCAAATCAGAGGTTCTCCCACTGAGCCACAAATGCCCAGGGCCTGGATAAGAGAACAGGGTGAGGTTGTGGCTCTCTGGTAGAGTATCTGCTTTGGATGCAGGTGGATCCAGGTCCAATTCCCGGCATCGCCAGGCCAGTTAAAAGGCCTGTTTAGGAGGTGATATAGAATCTCAGGGATCTCCAGGGTCATCTAGTCCAACCCCTGCACAATGCAGGAAATACACAAAAAGCCAAACCCTCAGTGACCCTTCTTCACCCAAAGAGTGATTAACACATGGAATTCACTGCCACAGGAAGTGGTGGTGGCTACAAGCATGGACGGCTTCAAAAGGGAATTAGATAAGCATATGGAGCAGAGGTCCATCAGTGGCTATTAGCCACAAGGTATAGATAGGGGCTCTGGGGCAAGTGATGCTCTGTCTTCTTGGTGCTTGGGGGGGGGGTCAACAGTGGGAGGGCTTCTAATGTCCTGGCCCCACTGGTGGACCTCCTGATGGCACTGGTATTTCTGGCCACTGTGTGACACAGAGTGTTGGACTGGATGGGCCTTTGGCCTGATCCAACATTGGCATCTCTTATGTTCTTATTATGTTCTTATGACCCCTATTCCATGCCCAGAAGATATGAACGAGATGAAAAAGAAGATATGAAAGGCCTCTATCTAAAGCTCTGGAGATCAACTGCTGGTGGGGACAGACCAACACTGACCTGGATAGACCAACACTGTGACTCCGGATATAAGGCAGCTTCTTGTGTTAAAACTGTTTTCCCTTTGGTACCTATCAGAAGCTGGGGGGGGGGGATAATACAATCACAGAAGAATTGGAACTCTGTGGTGTCCAAAAGGACTGAGCAAAAGGGTTAGAGGGTAGAAACGGTGACAACGGTGATAACAATACCAGGCTTGGATCCAGGTCAGTCTTCTAGACTGTCCTGGACCAACCACATACCAGCCTTTTCCTGAATTTATAGCAGGCTAGAAGGATGAAAGAGGATGAAAAAGGTCCAGTTAAAATGCAGCTGTTGCTACGAGGAACCTCTTTATTAAACTCTACATTTGTTTAAAGCTGTGCTGCCAAGGTAGACCAAGGAAGCAGATAAAGCAGGCCGGGGGGGGGGCCCTCTGGAGACCACCTTCTTCTTGCCTTTCTGCTCCGCAACATGCCCTTGAACACATGAGGAGTTCAAGGTGCCCCCAAACCGCACTGTGGATCACCATATCCTGAGGATCACAATCCCCAGGGCTACCAGCAAGACGTCAAATGGAAGGCTGGGCATTGAGGGACCCAGATTAGACGCTCGTGGATTTAGTGTGTTATTCGTGCTGACTGATGATTGGGTATCATTGTCATTTTCCTCATAATCATACAACGGATTCTGTCGAGTCCCTGCTGTTGTGTTGCTATCCGATTCGTAGTCAGGTGTGACGGTGACCTCTTCAGGCACTGCGAAAGCGTCATTCGTGTCATTCGTGATGCTGTGTTCTGGGGAAACTGTAGGGTGAGTGAGGTCATCTTCCTCACGAGGCCTAGTTGCGTTCTGGGCAGGTGCTGTTGTGCTGTTAGCCTGAACCTGAGAGGCAACCACCTTCCCATTGCATAACATGCCGTGGCAACAGGAGCTCCTCAGACGCAGCTCTATGGGGCCGAAGGACTGGCTCTCAGGAACGTTACAGGATGGGCCTTGGCAGGTCTTGATTTCGAAAAACGTAGTGAAGTTTCCTAAGGGGAGTCAAGAGTCAGGCTGGGCAGAGAGGCAGGCCGGGTTTCCCCAGAATGCAATGCAACAACAGAGGGAATAGTGCTGCTGAGTCGACCAAATGACAGACCACAAAGAGTGCCTGACACGAGGGGAAAGGCATTCTGGGTGACTGAGCCCCCAATGCCACATGACAGCGGGAGAGGCAATTTATAGCACCAGTGGGGCAAAACTGATACACTGTAGTAAGGCCACCAGCCTCCATGGAGGGCTCGGAGTTCTCCCAGGATTACAGACTACAGTGACTGGTTCCCCAGGAGAAAATGGCTACGTTGGAGGGTAGGTAATATGTGATGTGGGCATGTCAGAGGCAGTGCTCTGCTTTTTTGGCCAAAACTCTATGGTAAAATTATCCTCAAACCATAGATTTTTGCCCAAAAACCAGAGTGTCACCTCCTCCTGACATCACTGGCATGCCTACACGGGAGCCAGTTTGGTGTAGTGGTTAAGTGCGTGCAGGGGTCTTTTGGGGCTGGAGCGCGCCGGAGCGCCGCTCCAGGAGCCCAGGTGCCATAACAAATGGCGGTGGCAGCAAGCCCCGTTCCCAGCTCCCTGCGCTGCGGCCCCCCGCCTCCTCCTTGGGCAAGCACCGGAGCGCTGCGGTCCGTGGGAGGCCAGAAGAGCCCCCCCTGGCCACCTCCCAGGGCCAGCATCAGAGCGCTGCAGCCCATGGGAGGGCAGAAGAGGCCCTCCCACCACCTCCCCAGGCCAGCGCCGGAGCGCTGCGGCCCGTGGGAGGGCAGAAGAGCCCCCCACTGCCTCCCGGGGTAAGTGAGGGATCCGCGGGGGGTGGCGGAGGCTTGATTGGGGGAGTGGGGGAGGGGTGGAGGGGTGGGTGGGAGACCCTCCCCCATCT